ACTGGCAGCCCTAGTGGCAGGGGAGCCAGTGGCCAGAAGCCCTGCAGGACCCAGAGCTGAGCCCAATGGCCAGGACTGGTGGCTGGGAGTGGGCCAAGGTCTTGGAGGGGAGCCTGGGAATGGGGCTAGTGGCCAGCATGGGTTCACTGACCTTCTCTGATCTGGCAAACTCCCTGGTGCATGACCACTCAGGTCCCATAGATGCCGGGCCAGGTAATTCCAACCTACAAATCTGTTTCTCTAATTTTGCTATGGCTGAGTCAAAATTAAATAATTGATGAAGATCTCTTTTTGCTGGGATATTTAGACAAGTCAATGTTCATCAGGTTAATGATAAAGGCTGTGCATTTTTAACTATTCTGTTGTTTTAATCCATATGAGTCCCAATCAGTACAAATTGACTGGGGCCACAGTTTGTACAATCCTGCAGTTTGATTTTCTAGCAATAACCCCTGTACCTGTACAATGTTCCATTAAAATTAAAATGATTCGTCTGTATATATAATGTTTAAGACTTGTGTTGTCTATAGCTTTGATCTCAATAATGACCTGTAATCTTCATTATTTACCACTCCTCCAATCTCTCTATCATCTGCACATGTTATCACTAATTCTTTTGTAATTGTCTTCTAGATCACTCAGTGCATAAGGCTAAGAACCCATCCCTATGAGACCCTACCAGAAGTACATCTGCTTGGTAATGATTCCATTTTTACAATTACATTTTGAGACCTTGATTAATTAGGTACTTTGTAATCCATATAATGTATGCCCCGTTGAATTTTACTTGGGATGCTTCTGTAATTGCTAACCAAGAAAAGCATTCCATAAAATGAACCCATACTCTTCTAATCAGAACTATAACTTGGACCAAAGTGTGATTTCAGTGGGAGTGAACAACAGAATTTAGCAGGATTGTATTACTTCTACTGACTAGAAAACTGAGGTTTTAAATTAGAAAATCTGTAAAACAACATGTTACTTTTTTGGGTAACATTTTCAGAAGAATAATCATATGGGAAAAAAAAAGTTTAATTTTGTGTTGAGGATGAATGTGTTGTGTTTCCTGAGATCCAGGATTGGTCTCCATCCTCCTGGTTTTTTGACTGTTAGGAAATAGTTTGAGTTAGAACCCTCTTCCCCGATATTCTGTGGGAACAGGTTCTATTGCCACTAGGGTGAATAACTTTTGCACCTCTGTTTGTAATAGGGACTCGTGAGATGGGTCCCTGAAGAGGGACACAGTAGGGGGCATGGATGTGAAGGGGACTGTGTAACCTGATTTGGTAATTTCCAGGACCCATTTGTCTATAGTGATTTGAGCCCACTGTTGGTAGAAAGGTCTCAGGCGGTGATGGAAGGTGGCATTGGAATGCACTGGAACTATGCGGTGGTCGCTCAGACCCCCGAGCAAGACTTCAAATTTGTTGTTTGTGTGAGGTCGATTGAGTGATGGAGGACTGATTTTGCCACATCCTCCCCATTAGGCCTGTTGTCATGTGGTCTCTGGTGGATATTAATGAAATTCATGAAACAGTTAAACCAACCAGCCTTATACAACACTACTAAAAATGGTGTCCTATTAAAGTGTTATCATTCAGGCTCTAGAAATTCATTAAGGGATTATTTGATATATGTAGAAAATAATGTATGGAGAGCTAATATTTGAGATTAAGAATGTTTCTAAATAATTGTCAGCCCTTACTAATCTGCTAGAGTTCTTTGAGGGGGTCAACAAACATGGAAAAGGGCAATCCAGTGGATATAGTATACTTAGATTTCCAGAAAGCCTTTGACAAGATCCCTCACCAAAGGCTCTTAAGTAAAGTATGTTCTCATGGAATAAGAGAGAAGGTCCTTTTGTAGATTGATAACTGGTTAAAAGACAGGAAACAAAGGATAGGAATAAATGGTAAGTTTTCTGAGTGGACAAAGGTAACTAGTGGGGTCCCCCAAGGGTCTGGGGACCCATCCTATTCAAATTATTTATAAATGATCTAGAGAAAGGGGTAAAGAGCGAGGTGGCAAAATTTGCAGATGATACCAAACTGCTTAAGATAGTTAAGACCAAAGCAGACTGTGAAGAGCTTCAAAAAGATCTCACCAAACTAAGTGATTGGGCAACAAAATGGCAAATGAAATTTAATACTGATAAATGTAAAGTAATGCACATTGGAAAAAATAATCCCAACTATATATACACAATATGATGGGGACTAATTTGGCTACAACTACTCAAGAGATAGATCATGGAGTCATCCACTCAGTGTACAGCGGCAGTCAAAAAAGGAAATAGAATGTTAGGAGTATTTAAGAAAGGGATAGAGAGTAAGATAAAAAATATTGTATTGCCCCTATATAAAACCATGGTACTTACATATCTTGAATACTGTGTACAGATGTGGTCGCCTCATCTCAAAAAAGATATATTGGCATTGGAAAAGATACAGAAAAGGACAACTAAAAATGATGAGGGGTTTGGAACAGGTCCCATATGAAAAGAGATTAAAAAGATCTGGACTTTTAAGCTTAGAAAAGAGGAGACTAAGGGGAGATATGACAGACGTCTATAAAATCATGACGGGTTTGGAAAAAGTGAATGAGCATTTATTTACTTATTCCCACAATAAAAGAACTAGGGGTCACCAAATGAAATAGGTAGCGGGTTTAAAATAAACAAAAGGAAGTTTTTCTTCACTCAGCGCACAGTCAACCTGTGGAACTCCTTGCCAGAGGATGTGGTGAAGGCTAGAACTTTAACAGGGCTCAGAAAAAGAGCTAGATAGATTCATGAAGGTTAGATCTATCAATGGCTATTAGCAAGGATGAGTGGGAATGGTATTCCTAGCCTCTGTTTCTCTGGAGGTGGAAGACAGGAGAAGGATCACGTGAGGATTACCTGTTGTGATTCCTCCCTCTGGGGCATCTGGTACCGGCCACTGTCAGCAGACAGGATACTGGCCTAGATGGACATTTGGTCTGATCCAGTATACCTGTTCTTATGTTCTTGAAAGAAAGCTGAAACAGCTGAAGACTGCAGATTTAAAATAGATGAGTCCAAAAGAAATTCAAAACGATCTGGACAAACTGGAGAAATGGTCTGAGGTATATAGGATGAAGTTTAATAAAGACAAATGCAAACTACGCCACTTAGGAAGGAATAATCAGTTTCACACGTAGAGAATGTGAAGCCACTGTCTAGGAAGAAGTACTGCAGAAAGGGACCTAGGGGTCATAGTGGACCACAAGCTAAATATGAGTCAACTGTGAGACACATGAGACACACAAAAAAGGAAACATGATTCTGGGATGCATTAACAGGAGTGCTGTGAGCAAGACCAGGGCCGGCCCGAGCCATTCGTGCGCCCTGGACCCTGGGAGCGTGGTGCCGCGCCGGGAGTGCGGCATATAAGTGGCCCTGCCCCCGGTGCCCAGTGCATGCGCGGCAGCCCCACACAGCTCCCCCTACAATAGGGCGCCCCAGGCGGTAGTCCAGTCAGCCCGTAGCTTGGGCCGGTTCTGAGCAAGACACAAGAAATCATTCTTCTCCTCTACTCTGTGCTGATTAGGCCTAAATTGGAGTGTTGTGTCCAGTGCCGGGCACCATGTTTCAAGAAAGACGTGGAGAAATTGGAGAGGATCCAGAGAGAGCAAAAAAAATGATTAAAAGTCTAGAAAACATGACCTGTGAGGGAGGACTGAAAGAATTGGGCCTGTTTAGTTTGGAAAAGAGACGTCTGAGAGGGGACATGATAGCAGTTTTCAGGTATCTAAAAGGGAGGAGGGAGAAATATTGCTCTACTTGGCCTCTGATGACAGGACAAGAAGCGATGGGCTTAAATTGCAGCAAGGGAGGTTTAGGTTGCACATTAACCACCCTGACAGGAAGTTAAACACTGGAATAAATTGCCTAGGGCAGTTGTGGAATCTCCATCACTGGAGATATTTAAGAGCAGGTTAGATAGACATCTATCAGGGATGATCTGCACAGTGTTTGGTCCTGCCCTCAGGGCAAGGGACTGGACATTATGATTTCTCGAAGTCCCTTCCAGATCTAGTATTCTATGATTCTATGAAATTTAGGATGAGGTCTAAACAGAGGAAAGAACAGAGCAGTTGACAAACAAATATTATAATTGCTGAGCAGGATTATATTGACTTGTTCTGGTCTTGCTTGTTAACAGATAAGAGATTTAAGGGCCAATTCTGAGTCCTCCTTTATGACACGGCAGAAATAAGCCATTGTAGTCTGACTCATAGTGAGTAAGTCACAGATCACACTCCCCCACACATTTCCTTTCAACCACAGAGCTAGGGAGTTTCCTGTATAATAATTTCTCAAATTGTCATAATTGCGTTAGGTTCATCCTTTTATCTTCTTCATTGTGGACATGAAATTCAGCATTAGGCAATATATTATATACAAATTAGGATTTGTTTTGTAATAATCCAGTAAATAGCCCGCCTACATCAACAAGGAAACTGAAATGACAAACACACATGTTGTATTAGAACATGAGTACCCAAACTGGGGGCATGTAAAGAAATTCCAGGGGGGTGGCACGAAGCGACCCAGCCTCCCCCACATCAATCCTCTTCCCACCCCCAAGTTTTGCTGCTATTTTTGTTTTTCGGCCTCGGTCAGTTCCTTTTTTGTTTTGCTCAACAAGTTTTGCTGCTGTTGGTGGTGGTGGGAGGGGGTCCCGAGGGTTTCTCAAAAATAAAAAAGGGGGGCGTGATGCCGAAAAGTTTGGGAACCACTGTGTTAGAAGAAGATAGGATAATTGCAGAGAAAAAATTTTAATATTGTATAATTGAAGGGGGAGGCAGTACCCAAACATGGAAGAGCAGTGTCTAAACATGGACCAGCACATTAGAAGCTTAAAGGAGAATGTAGGATTTATAATACATAAACTCAAAACAGTCATCTGACTGCCTCATTGATAGAATTAAGTATTTCGCCTCACAGGTAAACTAAAGTTGGGAAGACAATATCCACTCTTTAAAAATGGACTAACATTTTTATCAGTTTATGTTTTTCTCCATCATCAAGTTGCAGTTGTGGTTCCTTTTGAAGCTAGGCATATTGTTTATAAGAAAAACTGGAAGAAAAAATGGAGATTCCTAGGACTGTTTAAATGATTGATGTAAATTATCATTAGATTAAAGATATGCATAAGACTGTGGCATGTGATTTGGCAATTTTACCCTTAGTTGAAGTGCAGATCTTAAATGGTGTAAATTATAATAGGAAACATTTGTCCAGGTTTTTATATGGTGCAATTGGTCAAATAAAAAAAATATGTTCCACAAATCATTTTGTCCTAATTTAAAAGTGACTTTGCTTTGTGGTCCAGTCTCTTTCAGGTTTGCTGAACTTGAGTGAGACAGTCCTTGTGAAAAGCAAACGTTAAGATCACTTCAGTACTACTGGTTTGTAAATTTTAAACTCTCTGTGCCCATCTAGCTACTGTAAAAATGTTGATGAGCAAGTGTATAGGCAGGAGGTGGTGGACTGAAAGGGAGGCAGGGAGAGAATTAGAAAAAAAATCCAAAGGAGAAGGGAGAATGAGCCACAATGAAGAGGAGAGGATAGTTGTTTTGGGGATAGTCCTGCAGCTGCCATGCCAGCCAACAAATGCTATTTCTAGCGTATGGCTGGACCTTGAAGGCCAGCCATTCACCAGTAGCATTTAA